ATTCTTTTTTGTTTGTTTTTTCCTTTCTTAGTTCATTGATCATGTATTTTTGCAATTGTATTATGTTGCCTGTTGTTGTATTCTATCTTTTGATTAACATCTGCTATATCTGCTGTTTTATGTGAAGAGACTCTATGTAATTTCATAAATAAACTTCTTATATATAACAACATATTACACATCTAACACGACCGTAATATTGAAATGGCATGCGGTAAATATATATCACATATAAATTTAATATTTTTTTTAAATCTGATTTAAATATGACACTTTACATTACTGATTCTAGCTGCATGACATGATAACCAATTGAAACAAAAGCACAAGTTTGGAGGTATATTTTTTTCTATATCGTATATTACGTTTCTTTTCCAATGGGTTTATACATAAAATATAATTGTATCATAGGAGTTATCATACAAACTCTTTAACATCAAATAATTTTTCAGCGAATCATTTTTCTCCCAGCGGCTCTATTCAAAATACATATATCTCCATTGGCATTCTCCTGTACATAACGTCCTAATATGAATTGATTCCTCAGCGAATACATTCTAAACATAGCAAGATCGATTTATGTCGGTAATCGCTGTTCTAAAATTTTTAGAACTAACTAGCAATACCAGATAGCGCAGTGATTAGAGCGATGACTTCTCAGTTCATACATCTAAGGTTTGAATCCTTACTCGATTCACCATTTGTTTATTACTCAGAACTTTCTCTCGATTAATATGTCATAAAAAGATTCCTATTATAAATCCTGCCACATAATACCCAATAAATATATATTGTCGGATCAATTCCGAATATATTATTCTTTCAATGGACTTATTATATAAAACATCCACATCCACATCCTCAAGTTCTAATAAATTTCGAAACAGTAATAGATATCAGAGTTTATTTTAAAAATCCCAATAAACTCCCAAAAAAATAAGCTCTGAAAGCTGCTGCTTGTATTGTGTATCATAACCATTTAGTAAAAACTTAAAACAATTTACTACACACATTTTGTATCAACACTTGATACAGATATGTATGAATATGATAATGAATTAATATTACGCGAAATTCGTTATTGACTTTTACATATCTATTGAGCTTCTGAATAACACAGAATATTCAAATTAGTTTTGAAATCATATCTACCACATACTGCACATACTATTGTTATAGATTGTTTGAATTCATATGATACAACATAAAATACAGGTAATCATGAAAAATGGTAGAATTAGCAGTTTTAAAGAATTTAGATTTGTGGAATTATTGTTCGTACATATGAGAATTGGTAGATGATGATGTATTTGATAATTTAAACTATGAATGTATCTTAAATTGAACAGATATATTCGAAATGATGAATGAATAACTTTTTTATGAGAGCAGATCTAACAAAAAATATGTTTATCATCTCATTTTTGAAAAGAATATTTCTGAAGGATAATTGATGTTAACAAACAAATAAAAAATGGATCCACTATACAAAAAAAAAAGCTATGATGACAAAAAAATTTCAAATTTACTTACAATTTATGCTAAAAGAAAATATGTCAATCATAACTGATACAAAAGCAAGGAAATTTGTTACGATATTTCATGAAAAACTTGTTACAACATTGATATCACATTCAACCATAAAATTATTTACTTTATAATAGTTGAAAAGTGATACTCATAGTTACATTATGTCATCGTTTTGACTTGATCAATGAATCATTGCCATTGCACCGAATGTTCTTCTCGATTGATTTTCTCGTGGAAGAAAATCACTTTCTTAGCTTTCTTTAGCATATTAGTATTAATCAATGTACATCTCATTGAAATTCAGATACACATATATATATAGCAAAAAAAAGCGTTCATGTATTTGCAGTAAACAATATTGTATCTGCATATTTGTGACCAATAAATTGATTAACAAGAATTGGAAAATACAAATCGTTTGGTAAAGTAAGACTCACATATATTAAACACCTAGTGACTACAAGTCTTATTGAAATAAGATGATTACGTTGGTCATTATTTGCTAATCGTTAATTGTTTGATATTATTCTAATTATCAACTTTTTCACGGTTAGCATCGTATATAAAAACATGGGAGTACATAGTATAAAATAGATCAAAGTAAGGTGAATTAATAAAAACAAACTTCATTCTCATTCATCTTCAATTTTTTCTTTACTCTTACTCATACACATTCTGTTATAGTTGTATTCCTCTTTTGGTAGTCTAGAAAGAAATGGACACGATAAAAGAAGACAGCAACCTTTATATTTATATTCTAAATTGTATTTAACTGTGTATAACAACAACACATATTTCACCAAAGAAAAAGAAAAAAAAAAGAGAAACAATATGACATAGGTATAAAGGAATGATAGATAAGATGACTAGTTAGATCATATAGATGTCAGATCATGACATATTCACTTTTATACAAGCAAGTAATTCTTTCATCTGTTGGTCTTGAATGTCATATCATATATTGATATTTCAACATCCAATCCAAATAATAATAAAAAATATCAATACTATATGAGTGCGAACCATTTTTCATTGATACGATCGACTAAATAAATTACACACTAAATCAAGTAATACTAAAGTGAGAAACATGGTTGATGCATGGAGTAAAAAAAAGCTAAAAATTGATGGGATTTACTGTGAAATCACGTTCTATTTGTGATTTCTTATTGTTATCATGTAAACACGTAAGCTACATAGATTAAATTCCAATGGTCAAATGAAAGTATATCCATTATATAGAGAAATGTTAGTTAATGTTCGATGGTTTTCTTTTTTGAATAAAATAATAACACATCGAAGCTTGCCAAATGTACCAACAACGATATGAACAACATAAATTATGCCACTTAGAATCAAAGATGAACAACTTCAACTATGAGTTGCAGTTAACTGTAGAGTTGACGGTCTTTCTACAAGAGTTGCTGCTGTAATTTGCAAATAATGTGGTAGAGTTTGTAAACTTTAATCGAAATTGAAGTGAAGTGACAAAAATAATTGAAGAGTTGCAGTCGATATTTGATTGGGATAGTGTCCTGCAATTGGGTTGGATACCGGATATGAAAAAAATAGCCGGATCAGGTCCAAATTTGAGATCATACCTGACACCCGATCCGGCAATATATGAGATCTCGACGTTTCAAAATATTTCTACTTTTTCAAACTGCTCATTCATATAAAAGCATAGGGATGACAATCGGTTCGATCATGACCAAGTAAGTTATTGTACTTGAGAGCAGGTTACAAAACTGGAAGGCGATATTGTTTTACTAAAAGAATTTATTTTCAGTGAAAGTTTATCAGCAGATGATAAGGAACTGTATGATGAAGTAATTGAATACATAGAAAAGAAAATGAACTATCAAAAAAGTGAATATATATTATCGTGATGAAAAAAGCATTCATGTATGCATTCACAATTATGACTTTTGACATCAACACTGCATTTCATTCTAGCGTTATCAGCAACAAGCAAACGTATACTTAGCGAAATCGATCGAATTTTAGAAGCAGAGAGACATCAAATGAATCCTGAATCACTTGATTCGCTAGGGGTTTTTTTAATGGAATTTGAAATGATCTCGGTTTTTGCTACTGTTTATGGAAGAAATTAAATAGTATACTTTTATTTAAAATAAAAGTTTGATAGCTGCACTATGACTGTGAAAGTATCTGCCGAATGTCGATTAGTTTCGATCCGGATCCGATCAGGCACTGGGCACAGCTGTTTGGGTTGGGTTTAGGTGTCAAAATCATACTCGTGCAGGACACTAGATTATGGTTAAGGAATCTCAGTACAGTTAACGTGGAGTTGGACTTGATACATTTTATTAACTCCAATTAAACTCTTGTTGACTTGGCAACTTGTCAAGTGAAAATAGGAAAATTCGAGAATGAAACATCAATTACGGAAGTGAATGCAAAAGGATTCGACCTTTTAAGATGAGATCGGGTTATGCATAACTTTTTGCAATCAAAGATGCAGTAAGATTTCCAAAAAATTTATAGTTGAAGTTGAAACCGAACTGAAGTTAGAAGCGAATTTGGGAAATTACAGTGAATTTGGAACGTCATATAATTGGAGTTACCAATCTCACCTTGGAATCGATTCGATCGTTTCATAGTCTTGTATTAAGTTGGCAAGTTTATCAAGCCATTTACATTCTCTTACTGTTTAACACAACTAGATAAGTAATGTATTCACTCAAATGAATTATTATTTTATAATACTTTTTGAACCTAATAGCACAAGATTTTTTTTCAATCAAAACTCATTCTGTCTCCGTGGATTACATTCATTATGATATTAAAAAAATGTTCTAAAAGGAAATTTGATTTGAAAAAAAGAATATTTCTTATCTCCTTTAATCATTTTTATCCTAATAGTGTTTCAGAAGTGAGTAGCCTATACTCTTTCCAATTATTATTTACATGTTAGGATTAATATTAGGTTTCTATAGCATCATTGTAAAAAAGAACTATATAGAAATTAATATTGCTCATTGAATATTTGATTCCTTTCTCTTTGTATTTATAATAGAAAAAAAAAACTTGTCGAAGATCAAAAACAGAAATGTAGTCAAAAGTATGACCTTGCACCTTAATATCTATTTCTGTCACGTCAATCATCATCATCCACAGTCAAGACACTTAACCTTGGGCTACATGTCATTAACATTCCAATTTATTTTTATCATTTCTCATGTAATCCTGAATACAGAGTCCTACGTTAATTACTAATAATACGTCGTTTTGTGGTTTATCATTGCGTGATGAACATATCATCCCAAATCAAAAGAAATGGTCTGTTAAACGAGACAATTTAATGATAAAAATATACGGCTAGTGTAAGATTTCAATAATATTAAAATTCACGATAATATTACAAATAATTCAAAAAAAGTTTTACAGAATATTGCAAAAAGAGAGAAAAATGTCCAAAAGATAAGTTAATGAAACAAAATTTACATTCATAATTGAGAAGTTTTTTTGATTGGCGTTGTAGTAATTGTCCTTCTAACTGGTTCGCGCAACGTCGCCATTGTGCCGACATGTTGATTGCCGTTGTTCTCATGAAGATCACCTTTGTTTGTTAATTTTCCCCAATATGTCAATATCAATTGACGAACATCTCGTCGAAAACCGTATACAGATATATAAAGAAAAAATGCATTCAATGCATTTCTTGTATACATTAATGTATTCGTAGCAAGAAATATTGTATCTGTATAATCATAACCAACAATCTGATTCTCAAAAAGTGAAAAACAAAGACGATTAGGCAAAGTACAAACAACATAAGCCAAGCACATAAATAACAACATAAGTGAAATACGACGATTACGTTGAGCATTAATTGCTAATTGATTATTTGTAAATGTTTGTTTAACAATTAGCTTTTTCATTATGAGCAATGTACAAACAATAATGACAGCAAATGGTAGAATATACATGACTACGAGATGAATCTATACAAGAAACTGAATACTAATTCTGTACATTTAGTTACATACTTACCCATGCATATTGAAAACGAAAGAAATCATTGAGTTGTTGATTCAATGAATAATAGCATGCTATAAGTGTTTCGTCCATACCAGTACTATTATTATAGATAGAATATTCAAAACCTAATCCAAATAAAAATCCATTCAATATAAATAAAACGATCAGAATAATAGCACAAAGTATTAATGCTATACGTGGTTGAGCTATTTTTCTTTTATACCATCTACTACGTAATAAACAAGCACGATCAAGTTGTACAAAAGTAAGAAACATAGCTGATGTATGTAAAGTATAAAAAGCAAAAAATTGACCCAATCTACAAAGAAACACTGATTGTCCCCATATTTGTTTTGTACCATTTGTGAATGTGTACATAACATGATTTAAATTCCATTGATAAAGTGATATCGTATCCATAAGACATAAAAATATCAAATAGATATTAGTTGATGTTCCACGATTTTGTTGATTAAGTAAAATGACAATGGATATAAGATTACCGAAAGTCCCAATTACAATAAGAATTATAGGAATAATGCCACTTACGATTAATTCAACTGTTTCGTAAGGATGTACATCTTCTTGTCGATACCATGAAGCCATTCAATGTTTACTGATACTATGAACTATATAATGTCTATGACAAACAGTTTCTTGCACTGACTGATGTTCTTATATATTCTTTTTTTTCTTCAGTTTTTTTTACTGACACTTTTGTTGAATATCTCATCCAATCCTATCTCTTCTATTTCAAAAGACAAAAAAAAAAGAAAATCCTTATTTCTTTTAATTTTAAGTTGAAGCTATACTTTATTTATTTTGTATAGTTTTTCTGAAAGTTGTTTTCTCAGTACAAGGATTAGATTTCAATTTGTTGGACATTCTTCAAAAATATTGAAATTTTAACACAATTGTAATTTATAAATTCTTTTTCATTCAAACTTCAACAAAGTAAAACTCACAATATAATATCTATTTCTAGTGTGTTAATATTTATTGTTTCCCTTAATAGATATCTTCTTTGAGAAGACTCAAGCATTTGTTGATATAATCTGTTTTCATTTTCCTATCGTTTCTTTTCACTGAAGTAATTGATAAAGTCATATATTTTCTTTAATTTGTTTATTAAATGAAGCAAAGCAGAATCAAAACCGATATCCGATGAAATATTACGCCTTATTAAGTACAACAGATGGATTCATATATGAGAAATATTTTTTCATGATTAAAGTCTGATTAAGATTAAATACATTATCTAGGATATAAATTGATATATATATATAAGATCACATATAAATGATTACTTAATAAAAATTTGCAATGTCTATACATTGCAATACAATTAAACAGGCTCAAGATTGTTGTTGACGAAAGAAGAGTGTTTGACTTTTTTATACAGATAATATACATAAATATTGCTTTGAGATATCATTATTAATTTTACTAAAGAAAAACAAATCTGTCATTAAGTAACAGAATAAATAAAAAGTCACCTACATGTAATACTCAATTCTCATCTAAGACAATGATGAGAGAAAAATCGGAACAAATTTTATTCATGATATCACACTGCAATGCATAGAAAAAAAACTTTTAGAATTATCTAATTTAAAAGTTAGCAATTACAATATTTCAAAATTTTCCAAATATGGAAGATTGGTTTTAGCAATAAAGCTGATGAATCAATGGTAGAAAGAATCAGTTATACATTTGAATTATCAAACCATAAATTCGAACTTTAAAACTATTGATAGTTCTAAAAGTTTTCTTTATGTACATCAATATAACAATCAGTAATAAAGTTTATTTTTTATTCTTTCCTCGTCAATGTCTTAGATGACAACTGAGTATTATCTATGAATGTTTCACACTTTTTTCTTTTACTTGACGACAGGTTTTATATCTTTAGAGAAGACAATCATGGTATTTCAAAGCAGTATTTATTCATGATATTAGTCTAAAAGAAAAAAAAAACTCAAATATTCCTCTTTCATATACAACACTCTGAGTCGGTTTGATAGAATCAAAGTGTAAGTATTCCAAGTTTTTATCGTATAGTTTTTTTTTATAGCTCATGTTATATGTATTTAGCCTATATTGAACTCGAGAACAGATTAGGAGCTCTATGTTTAATTATTTCAGGTACCGAGAAACTCGAACGAGATAATTCACATACAAGATGTTTCATAAGCTGTGAAACTCGACAAAATCAGCTTATATATAGAAACATGGAATAATCTCTAACTAAATTTGTTTACATGAAAATTGAATCTGTCTCTGATGTTTCAAGTAACATTATATTGTATGACGTATTCTCTTCTAATTATAGAAAGATAAAAATAAGTATATGATGATCATTTTTCGCAAAATTCACCAGCAACATTTCTTTTTAGAACTTAAAAAAAATAGCGGCGAACATATCTGATATAAAATAAAAACATAGTAGGGATCAAAAAGTAGTTGTTGTAATCGTTTCTTTGAGACCTATCATGAGGCATGAATCATATAATCATGCAAACTAAATGCTGAACAAATGATTCTAAATGAAATAAAATACACGAACATACTATGTTCAAAATAAAAATAAAGAACAAAGATTACGTTGTGAACTATTGATGAATTATTAATTGCTCAAATATTATCTCAAAAGTGATGTTGAACAGGTTTCGTAGTAGGCCCATATTTTGTAGGAAGTTTTATCTATGTAAAAAATGAACCTTTACTAAGTGTTTATTTATAGAGTAAACAAAGTCTCCTATAAGATATGAGTCTACTACGATGAGTAGTAGAATTTTTATGTAGCATTTCTTTGAAAATGTCACTCATCCATAATTCAAATCAGGTATTTCAAAAACTGTAGAACATTATGATACGGACAAAATGCATTTGTATGCTGACTTTATATGTTGAAAGATGTAGCCAAAAATTAATTGTTCATTTAGAAAATGTTGTCCAACATAAATTCAATAGTCGTGCACTCGTACTGAGCAAATAACCAGGCACTAACGTCATAGTATGAGATTCCAAAATCCTGTTTTCACACAGATTGAAATATATGAAACTCATAATTAATGACTGCACTCTTGTTTATCTAAAAAACTGTTCTTGAAAACCTAATATCCGTGATTCTCAACTACTTACGATGTTTTGGAGTAAAACTATAATGAACCCCAAATTTACTGGGGTTCCTATGTAACCATTACACGAGTATTTAACGTGGTCCATCTCATTTGGTCTCAACATTTTTCTATTCCATGGAAAAACAAGACTTAGGCTTTCGACGGTGCTCTTTCATCTGCACTATGTATTAGCTCATAGACATGAGATTCAATTCGGTCAAGCTACGGAAAGTCAGAGTTTTTGATTCGAAATCTTTGAAAAAATGAAATTACAGAGCACCACGACGTGTGGCATTTCTATGTCTTGCTTCTATATAAATAGTTTCCGACAAAAAGTTACTTCTAATATCATGTATCGACGTGAAAGACAAAGTTGTCTACCTCCTTTGGCTCCAAAACTACTTATTCAAGGTCTTAAAATACCAACTGTGACTTATAAATGGGAAACAATTTGAGACAAGTCTTACAACTATCACTCGTCTTTTAAGGATTAGAAACCGGAGATAGTATCATTCATTAGAAATTCAGACTTAAGATTATCCTCTGGTTACATTCATTATTTTAATTCTAAAGGCGACCCATGTTCTCAGATGTTCTTAGAGATATGAGGCTGATTCTTACATAGGATTGTAGATTTCAGAGGTGACATCTAATTTCTGAACATCAGTACCCAAACTTCTCTATTTCTTAGGAGATAATCTTGTCGCAAAACCATGATTCTCATAAAAAATTCAGTTTTGAAAAGGATCTCCTAGATGAATACAAGATGATAGAAAGCTGAAGCTTTTACTAGACATGTTTCTTTATTGATACAAGTAACAGTAAACATTTCAGCTAAATATCGTGCTCCAATTGTTAAATATGAATTCTAACAATTGTCTGAAATTATGCTTTTTGCTTCTTTTATGAAATCCCTTAAAAATATAGAGTCTATTAAAATAGCTTCTTCAATGTTCAAGTTTTTAGTGTTATCCGTAAGAAAAAATCATGAAATATTCATATTTCAATATTTTTGAAAATCGCTTGCAAGAAAATTCGTAAAACTCTCTCCTCTCGAACATATCATAAATAGAACAAAATCTGTCGACTTCAATTGAGCACGTTCTCTAAAATGATAGTCGCAGTTTACGTGGACTGATTTTTAAAATATTCTCTCGCTGATATTGCTTCCATAAATTAGTGAAAACCATTGAAAACAAATAAAATCAATCCAATAAATCATTTTGTATTCATTCTATCATTTAAAACTAATGCGCTAAACATCATTATCAAGTCGACAACTATGACAATAAAGTTTTCAACTATTATCTTTCGATTTTGTATAAATTAAGATACTACACAATAGACATCTAAAATATTTATTCTTCATATCTATTTAAAATTGGAAACTAATACACTTTCAAATTCCAATATTGATAAGCGAAGCTGTAAATTTTTCGTATGATTTTCAAATAAAAGAATTTATTTAGATCAAAACAGTAGTAAATATTTTATTTCAAAAACTTACACCATACATGTATGGTATAATTACGATCTGAACTTTAGAAAACATGTAATAGATGATCAAAACATATGAAAAAAAAAAAATTTATAATTTTGTTTTACACATGCATAATAAAAAGAAACTTTTAGCTTGGTATGGCACGTAATATGGTCATTGCACTTTTAGCTGGTCCTGAATTTATCAATATTCCATCTACTTGGTTTTCAATTCATGTATTGTCTGGAACCACTTCAATAGGTCGTTTTCTAAAGCATGATAATAATAATAAATTGTGTACATCTCGTCGAAAACCATATATAAATATACAGGATGGGTAAAAATTTTTTTCCAGAAGATAACGTTCTGATTTCCGATAGTATTCATAACAAATTTTATACCAAATTAAAGCGCGTCGAAAATGGGATTTATCGATGCTAAATAGTAAAGGTTATGGCAACTTCACAGAGTTGAACTCAGAAAATTCCTAGAGTTTTACACCATATTGACATCGAAAAATGACTTTCATGAGGTAGTTTAAACTAAATCTCATTTAAAATGATGAATCACA